CCTCCACCTCCTTCTCCTCACACAGCCACCTTGCTGGAGTGCTTGACCATCCAGGTTAGGTCCCCTAAGGAAAGGGTCTGTCTGGAGCTCTCTCCCAGGAGCCAGGCTGCAGGCATCCTGGGCACATACCCCCACCTTTGGGAGCTATGGCTTTGCTTCAAGCCTCGAGAGAATAACTTGGTTTAAGGAGTTTGCGCTGAGAGTTGCAACAGAGTGACTTGGTGTACTAAATAAAGCTGGCTCTCAGTGCTCTTGGGGACTCCAGGATCCACGCTGTTGACTGGAGGTTGGGAGCTAGAGATCCCAGGGAAAGATTCTAGCCCATTCCTTTTCTGGCCCTGTCCACCTGCTGTGCTTGAGTGGCATTTCTGCACCACTGGTCCCACCTAGTGGACGCTTTAAGTATTGCTATTTATATTTGGGGTGCTTCCCAAACCCAACCAAATTCCCTGCCCTCCAGTCCATGCTGACTCATAGGGACCCTATAGGACAGGATAGAACGCCCCTGTGGGTTTCTCAGACTGTAACCCTTTATGGGAGTAGAAAGACTCCTCCTTCTCCCTTGGAGCTGCTGGTGCTTTTGAACTCCTGACCTTGTGGTCGGGAGCCCCACTCATACCTCAAGAGGATTAATAGATGAGTGTTTGAGAAATTGCTTTGGTTAAAAAGGCCAGGTTTTTTTGCTACTTGGCTGTGCTCCGCTGGCCAGGCTGGCCTCCTCCCCGCCAGGCTTCCTGTTGAGACCTTGAGAACATCGGGGATTTTTTTTGGACCTGATCAGACAATTGTTCTACATACTCAGATATCCGGGCTCGGGTAAGGCCTGGTAGTTAGACCCTCCACCCTCAGATCGTCAGCCAACTCATGCCTGGAAACCTCAGGTTTGGCCTGACTCCCTCAACACCCAGCAAATGATGTGAGATATTTTGGGCGAGGGGCACGACCCTGAGCCTCCTCGGTTTCCTCGTCGCTAAGTTGGACTGAGCTGGAGCCCTGGTGGTGTCGTGCTGTATTGGGTGGCTAACCGAAAGGTCAGTGGTTCGAAACCACCAGCCACTCCAAGGGAGAAAGATGAGGCCTTCGACTCCCGTGGAGAGTGGCAGTCTGGGAACCCCCCCAGGGCCAGTTCCACCCTGTCCTGTAGGGTTGCTATGAGTGGGCATTGACTGGATCACAGTGAGTGAAGTAGGAGCAGCTGAAGAGAATTCAAAAGCGGTGGCAGAATTAAGAAATGGTGACAGCAGTACATCGGCAGGGCGCTGCCCGAAATTCAAGGTGGATTCCAGACGAGAACTGTTGTCACTGATACCCGACGGATTTTGCCTGGAAACAGAGAATACCAGAAAGATACCCACCTGTGTTTCACTGACTGTGCAAAGGCCTTTGACTGTGTGGATTGAAACAGGTTATGGATTACATCGGGAAGAAAGAGAATTCCAGAACATTCCATTGTGCTTGTGCAGAACCTGTGCATCCACCCAAAAGGCAGTAGTTCAAACAGAGCAAGTGGCTACTGCTTGGTTTAAAGTCAGGAAAGGTGCGGAGTGTGGGTGCAGGGAGTGGGGGGGTGGGGGACGGTTGAATCCTCTCACCATACTCATTCAGGCTGTGTGCTGAGCAGAGTCTGAGAAGCCGGACTAGGCAAAGGAGACTACAGCATCAGGATGGGCGGAAGGGCCGCCCACCACCTGCAGTATGCAAATGACACCGCGTGGCTAAAAGCGCAGAGGACTTGGCGCCCTGGTTGGTAAAGAAAGAGCAAAGGCTATACAGCCTTCCGGATGGACTGCATCTCGGCGTAGGAAAGCCAAACTCCTGAAAACGGGACCAGGCAGCAACACCAGGATCAAAAGAGAAAAGCCTGCACTTGGATCCACAATGGGTTCCCATGGAAGCTACGACCAAGAGATCAAACAGGGTGTCGGGAGGGGCAGCTCTGCTGTGCACGTCCTCTTTAAAGGGTTAAGAAGCACAGTGCTACCTTGGGGACTAGGGCGCCTCTGAGCGGAACCTGTGGGGTTTGAGAGCACATCGTCCGCATGGGAAGGCTGGCCAGTGAACAGGGAGGACTGAAGATGCACGGGTGCATCCGAGCTACTGTGCCAGCGAAGAACGAAGAACGCGCGTGCCTTCCACTGCCAGAACAATGAACAAATCTGTCTTGGAAAAAAGGCAGCCGGGATGCTCCTCGGAAGCAAGGATGGTGACACTTCGTCTCGTGTACTTTGGACATGCTGTCAGGACAGACCAGTCCTTGGAGACGGACATCCTGCTTGGCAATGGTGGAGCAGTGGTAGATGTTTTGCCTCTGGTTCAGGAGACCTGGGTTTGACTCCTGGCCAGTGCACCTCATTGGGCAACCACCACCTGTCTGTCAGGGGAGGCTTGAATGTTGCTGTGATGCTGAACAGGTTTTAGCAGGGCTTCTAGACTAAGTGAGGCTAGGAAGAAAGGCCTGGTGGTCTGCTAAAAATGAACCAATGAAAACAGTCTCGACAACACTATTGCAACTAGAACTAGCTGGGGCCTGGCTGCTACTATCAACTGCTCTGACAAGGGTCACGTTAGAAGGGCCTGGGTAGGGTGGGAGGGAATCATGGATGAATACTTGATTTCAACTGATGAGTGAGGGCCACCTTTTGCTCATCCAGGGTGATGGTCTTAGGGAGAAGCTTGCTCCCCGCAGGCCTCAGACTTCGCCAGACCCCCTCCCAGGAGCCTCAGTAAAAAGGACCACAAGACCACAGTCCCAGCTGTGTGGCCTGAGGGATGTCACTCACCCCCCTGGACACCAGTTGGCTCATCTGCACAGTGAGGGCACTGAGAACCCCCTCCTGGCTGCCCACAGCTCTCCCGGGGCTTCTGGGAGGTGGGGTCAGAGGGCGGCAGTGGAGGCACACTTTCTGAATCATAAAGTCGATCAAATCCCTGGGTTGTGCAAATGGTTGATACATCAGCCGCCAACCGAAAGTCTGGTCCTTTCAGTCCTGATGACCCTGCGGAGCAAGGTGCTGCCCTCTGGGGTCACCGTGGGTCGGGCTGGACTAGCTGGTACTGGTGCAGGTCCTGGTACTAGAAACAGGTTAGGACGTACCGTTCAGTGTCAGACCCAGCCTGCGGCTTCTATGGACCCAGGTCAAAGGGTGTCTGATGAAGTGCTGAGTGGTGGGGCTCTAACGCCAGCCATCAGGAGAGTCCAGAGCTAAGGGTAGAGGAGAAGTGACCTCCAGGCTGACCATCTCCTCTTCCTCCCCTGCCTCCTCACCATCAGCACAGCTTCGAGGGTGAGCCTGTCCACGGGTCCTCTTATTCTGAGTCCCGTCAGTCCCACGAGGTAGGTGCTATTGTCAGATCCA